TATCTGTCGCATTAGATGCTAGATAAAAGCTTTTCTTTCCCAATCTGTGTACTGAAAAGACCTGTGAATGCCTTTACATGGCCGTGGGGGTACAAAGAGAAAGTCGACGAAAAGAATCTGTCAATGTTGCTTAGGACCTAATGCAATATTCAGCCATCTGAAATTTTCCAACCCAATACAGAACAAGCCATCATACAAGAGGATTTCCCAATGAGTTGGGAGAAAAGCCCACCTTCAGTTCACGAAATGTTAACAACAGGGAGTTGGCAATTCCACTCTCCCCATTAAAATCGCTTCAATCTGGTCCCAGCCCTACTCAGTGAATTTATATCTTTAAATGTTCCAGTGCATCAAAATTGATGAAATTTTGGAATTCGGCTGAATTTTAATAAATATTATGAATATGTAATTACATAAAAACCCCGAAAGAATCCAGCTCCCGAGTAGTCAAAAATTGAAAACACTATTGGTAACAGTAAACCAAGGTTGATGATAGCCCGAATTACCTAAATCTTAATAAAGTAGTAGTAGTAGCGTTATACTGTCTGCAGGGCTGGTAGTGCTGATGCGATATAATAGTAGTGACTTTAGGGACTAAAATTACGGAAATAGTGAGCAAATAGTGACTAGTAAATACCATTTATATGGTAACTTAAAAAATTCAAATTAGGTTTGATATTGAAATAAACTTTTTATGTCATGGAACTAAAAATCAAATTTCATCCTCTAATTTAATCGAATTTCACAACGGAACTTTTCTCAGAATTTCTTTGGGATTGAACTTTTAAAATAAGATTCCATTGGAACTCTCGGAATTTATTTCGTACTCTTTACTCTCTTGGAATTTCAGAATTAATTTTGAATTGAGGGGGTTAGAAGGAAAGGGATGTAAGTGACTTTGATCGGTTCTCTTCATCGACTTTCTCTTTTGTTAATAATTCAGCTGCAAACATATTCCTTGATTCGTGTGCCATTCTGGATGCTAGATGAGAACCTCCTTTATCAAACTATGTGGCAGAAATAGCGCAAAATCTGTTTATAAAGGTGAGACTATCAAAAGAGAAAGTCGATGAAAATAATAGATCAAAGTCACTTACACCCCTTTCCTACTAACCTCTTCAATTCTTATTAGAGACCTAGAATCCTCATCCAATCATTATAGAATTTTTCTCAGAACTCTCGTTAAATGCTCATTTATATTGGAATTATTTCCACAATTGTTTCGGAGCTGAATTTTGGATCTTTAATAATTTAAACAATAATCAAAAGCGACGCTCGTATGTGTTAAGCCAAGTTTAACTATACATATAAGTAAACCTGGCTTAAGATTTAAGCGGAGATGGAGAAATCGGTCCTCAGAACACTTAATTTTACATTAAACTTTCGTAGTCTGTACTTTGGTATTCTCCTCTGATATATCTTGGTGTCATCCCTAGAATCCTTTAGAATTCTCTTAAAATTTACTTTCGATTTTTTAAAGTTCTTAATCATCCTTGAAAGACTTTTGAAAATCTATCACAGACAAATACCTTTGGAATGTTCTCATGGTTTACAATTTATTTTCTGGGAAAGGAGGTATATTTTCTCCGATTTTCAATCGAAATTGAAGGCATTTCCCAATAGTTTTCCTGGTGTTCTAAAGCTTTGCGGTTCACTGGTCACCCTGGTTAAAAATTTTATATTTTTAACAGATATGTATATTTTGTTAAAACTACTGTCGACTGTCTCAGTGACAAGTACTCAATACTCAATTTAAACATTTTGTTAATATTTTTTAAATTTAACTCTATTTTAGTAGTGAAAAAGTGACTTAAGTGACTATTTTTAGGGAAATAGTGACTTTAGTGACTTTTTTGTGTAAAAAGTTACTTTTTAGTGACTGGCTTCAAAATAGTGACCAAGTCACTAAAAAGTGACCTGCTACCAGTCCTGTGTCTGTTATACATAACGAATATTCTAAATAAACGATGCAACCTTGTAGCAAAGACATCATATCAAGATGACTGGCAACTGAGCCGGAATCCAAGAGACAAAAACATTAGCGCTGCGGTCGAGCGAAGGAGAAGAAATCCTTCCTTCTGAGGTTGTTACACCCAACCGGGGGATGTAAGATTCGCTTACAATTATGTGTGATTCATCATCAGAGGATGTTAGTGGAGACCGCATGAACCGAGGATGCGATGGACTTAGCTGCGGTCCAATGCAAGAAAATTGGATACCGAAAAATGTAGAGTATATTAGTGAGGTAAATTATTTATGTCGAAAAAAAAAAATAGCAAACAGACTGCCGAACAGACTCGAACAACGAACGTTGCGATTATCAGATCTGTGCTTTCACCACTGCACTCTTCATGCTTCTGAATATGGATAGCCTAAAAGCAAACATGAAGCGCTCATTTTCTCGCATACTCGACTTCGTATGCTTTTTCTGCTGGAGAGATTCGAGGCAAGTGTGTGCGTCATCCTACAATGTTCTACAATGTGCGTCGTTCTACAAGATTACTGGTATAGTCGAAAGCGTAGATAGAACACGAAATAAAAAAAGACAAAAAACCATTACATCGCCTGCATGGTCAATTTCTAACATTCGTTGCGATGTTCATGAACAGAGGATGATAGGAAACTGAACTAACATTCGTTGTAATAGATTTGTGGTTTGCGTGCATCTTTGCTATCGAATTCGTTCTGAGCATTTACCTTTGAACGACAGATGACGCGATTGTGCCTGTCTCATAGAGTCAGTATGGCTTTAATGAGCCTATTAGTAGTATGTGTCGTGTGTTCAATCGCTGTTATCACGTCTTCGACTTTCACTTGGCCCGTTATATCAATAAAAGCAAGTTTCGTGTATTGCTTTGATAGTTTTATTTATTTTTAAGATAACAATGTATCAGTATCGTTTGGTTTATAATATTCTGTTAATGCTAAGACATGTGGAGGTTTTGCGCCCATTTGATAAGTATCCACGTGGGCACTTGTCCCTCTTTCCCATCACCCTTGGAGCCGCTAGTGGACAAATACATGTTTTGTAATCTCTTCTTGTAGATTACATGCAAAAAATCCGATAATTCCGAGAGAAATGCAGCCTTGCAGTAAATGCTGAATTTGGGCTCATGCCTGGTTTCAGGAATTTCTTATAGGAAACTGAAACAAACAAATCTATAAACGCTTTTTAAAACTTGGATAAAATTAAGCATAGTTGAAGTAGATTCAATTTTAACTCATGAGAGCTCATAAAGTTAACGACGCAGGTGGTGTAGTGGTAAGCGTGATTACCTCTCACCCCAGCAGGCCTGGATTCAATCCCAGTCGGCGCCGCCGGGATGTTCTGAGGCATAACATCTCTGATCACGCCTTCCTTCGGATGGGAAGTAAAGCCGTTGGTCCCCGGTTCATGAGTTGATGGGTCGATAGGTAGGGTCCAGGTTTGGGAGCTGCCTTCCTGGCACGTCGGTAGCATTGGTGCTTAGCACGGAAAACAAGATCGACGGAAAAAACAAACCAAAGGAATAGAAAGCTCATAAAGTTATATTTTCAAACAAATTATTTACGCTTAACGTATTTTTTATCTGATTCTAAATCTTTTACACTCGATGTACGTTAACAACTTATAGAATCATAGTAAACAAGAATATCATAGCTACTGCGATGGTGATTTTCTATGGGATTGATGTTCTGTAGCTCGACAATTCTAGAACTGGATAGTTACTACAATAAAGAGGTGTAGAGAGTTCTCTGTATAATACAAAAAGAAGCTATAATCGAAGACAACAATCAAGAAGACTGGCAACTCTTCCATTTTCTCATACGGACGCTATGAGACAGGTACAATCGTGTCATCTGCCGCTCAAAGGTAAATGCTTCAAACGAATTAGATAGCAAAGATTACATCCTCAGAAGAAAGGTTTGTGTATTTGCTCATTTTTCTATGCGTTGCTTCCACCTTCACTCAAGCGCAGCGCTATTGTATCTGTCGCTTGGATTCTGGCAAAGTTGCCAGTTTTCTTGATATGATGTCTTTGCTATAATTCAAATTTGCATGCTATCCAACCGGTTTCAATTATTTTTTAAAGATCGCCAATGCTTTGTCGTTGACGAATGTATTGTTTTTGTATGCGGTTTTACGTGATAAAGTGAAGAAGGGGAGTTTTTTTTGCTGAAGGCACCGGTGGTCTAGTGGTATGGGCAAGGGGCAAGACAACTTAAATATACCATGAACCCCCGCTAATCTGAACGATACTACAATTTCAGGGTTAGAAAGTTAGATAACGGCGACATCTTTGCGAATGAATTGCGAACTATCTGTTAACGGTAATAGATAGTTTTAGTTATAACGAGAAACTTCTTTCAAGGTAGCAACCCTCGGATATGTTTCGTTTATGAGATATCAGATTTGTCATCTAAACTGCATTTCTGACCCACTGTGCATATCCACGCTCGTTCGTAACCCTTCGTACCGCACACGGAAGGTGGATAATTTTGTAACAATCCTCCTGATCCACCCGTACAGAACACAGCGCAGAAGTGGTACGGAAACGGATCCGAAATACCTGTCAAAGGATGCCACGTCTGGTCACCGCCCATCCTCCATCACCCATCAATCCAATTCATCTGCCGGCATTTTCCCACTCAGTGGCGATAAACGATCAAACAGCCTACAGGACAATTTAAATAAAAAGCGTGCGTTTGTACGCGTTCCGAGTGCATACATCACACCACTCGGCCGGAGGAGGGAAGGAGACTTCGGCGGGGGAGTATAAACAATTTTTTTCCACGTTGTTTTCGTTTAACAACCTGAATGGGGGCGGGCGCCCCTCGGCAATACACCCGTGCCTCCAATCGAAAAGTCACACACAAATATTAACAGTGTACACATCCAAACAGAATCGTCAACTGTCGCTTAGCTCCCGCGCTCACTACGATTGTCAAATTTGATGTGTAAACAATGAATCAAGATAAACAAAGACAAGAAGAAGAAGAAGAAGAAAATGAACACTTACCGATAAACTCAACTGGAAAATGTAGAACGGCTTCGCCGCTTTCTGCTTCCGCTTCAGGGATCAGGAAATGCACCAATCGTATTTATGTTGTTGTTGTTGTATTTTCTCCAAATGTCACCCGGAAAGAATTCCGTTTTCTCGCTTATCACTTCATTCACTTTTTTCTTCGGCACTGCACTGCGGGTTGCTTTGTTTGTTCTTCTTGCACACCTACTAACCTCTCTAGTCTCACCTGTGCGTGTGCGGCTGGTCGGTTTAATGTACCTTGTTTGTTCGAACACACAAATTAGCGCACTTCTTTCGAAAAGGAACGACTGCTATTGGATCCTGTCGGGGGGAAATTTCCAAACAATTAAAATGACGCAAATTTTCCCGAAACGGTCCCGAAAATGAGCAGCCCAGCCAGTTAGGTGGGCCGTAAAACTATCGCACTATAGTTGTTATTGTTTTATTGATTTTTCCTTCGTTCTCTCTAATCGGTTACCCCCTTGAATCGTCGTCGTGAAGTGGTTCCAAAAGGGAGCGGAACGGGAGGGAGCCGGGTGGGTACTTTTACAAGTACTTGAACACTCTCGCTCATTCGGTGCCGTCTCTTGGTGTGTCCGTGCCAAAGTTGTCGTCGTTGTTATCGTCGTCGTCACTCTCGGCAGCAGTCAGACCAGGCAGTCAGTGCAGATGTCGCCACCATAGCATTCCAGCACGTGCAAGCTAGAGGGCGCTACCGCATTAATCGTTTGCCAGAACGGGACGAGCGCTCCCCTTCCGGACGGCCCCACGTAGTAACCCGGTGCGCTGTAACTATATGAATTACAATGGCAAGTACTTTTCGGCTCTCGTTGTCGACGACGACGGCGATGATGATGATTGTGTACAAATGCTATTTTTTGGGTGGTAATGGTAGTAGCAATTCAGGCACACAGAGCGACGTTTGTAGTGGTGCGTTCCCAACCCTGATGGTACTTGAATTCCCCAAAAAGGGGTTGGAGTAAGTGGTAATTTTATTTATTGCCGGGAAATAGTGTGGTTAGACGGCCAGGGACGTCTTCAGGTCAACGTTAAGGGGCGCGTTAGAACAATAACTCTAGAAGAAAAAAAAAAATAAATACACACCATTCGGGCGCACCTGTTCCACGTGGTTGCATGCCTCCAAGGCACGAAACGAAACACCCCTCACCCCACGCACGTCAGTGCATGGGAATGACTTTCCACTCTCCTCCGAATCGTTTACTCTGCATATACATAAATGTGCGACGGTAGTATTAGTAGGCGCGTCTCGCAAGATGATGAATTTTCCGAGGAAAATGGCAAGGAAACAAGTAAAACTATACCCCAAATCCATCCAGTGCCATACTTCGTCGTTCCGCTGTGCCCTCTTTCCCCTCGCTATGCACTCACAACTCACCGAACGCGACGACCGAGAGTAATAACCGTTCGGTGATGCTTTGCAACGGGCATACCTTGCAGGCGCGCGCTTTCGGTTTCGCTCTCGCTCTATTCTCTCAGTCGCGATGCCACGTGCTTCGCCTGTATGGGTGCATCTCCTAATTGCCCACCACGAGAGTTCTAATTACCCATACAAACGTACCAAGGTAAACTGGACTGTGAACTGTTTTGACGAAACAATTGGGACCATTTTTCCGGCGGTGAATCTACGAGGGACGCAATTTCCCGGACAGGGAAAGGGTAATAGAATTAATTAGTCCCAGACAGGACCGAATTTTCTTGAATCATCCATCAGTCAAAGCTGTCAACGTTCGGACTGACTCCATCCATCTATATCGTGGTGCCGGTGCGAAATGGCCATACTAAATGGCTTTCTAATCGAATTAAAATCACTGCAATCCCCCTTCCGCCTTTGCGCCAATCACTTCCAAGATTCCGAGCCTCTTCGTTACATAATCTTCAATTGAATTAAAGCTTCTTCCTGCCAGTTGGTATCTCATTGCAATAATGCGAGTACATTGCCGAGTCCGGTCGCAGGGACAGTTGCACAATTTCGCTTCCTTCGATTAATTCAATTTAACTCAATTACCATGTCCCCCCATCGATCGCAGTCCCTGCCACGTTTCTTTCAGCCGCGGCAAGAAAGCGCGAATATTGAACTGTACTCTACTGCAGCATATCGGCCAGTCAGCAGCATGGCCTGGCCAGTAAATAATTCCATTAGTAATTAATTAAATCAATTGAACTTAATCGCTGGCCCCGGTGCGCGTCCTCTTTCTTTTGCACAGCGAGCTGCGTTTTCATATGAATGAAAGTAGTACCCAGTACATAAAGCGAAGGAAATGCCTGCTGCCTTCTTCCCATGCGATGCGATGATGATGAAATATGCAAAATCAATAATACACGATTCCCTGGATTTCCTTGGGTTTTCTCCGGGAAATGGGTGCCACGGAAAAGTTGAGTGTTTAATTAATGGGCATGGATTGTCAGAATGTGACAACCTCTGGCAACCGGTTGACGGTTGTCACCGGGAAGGAGTGGATAATTGCAACGGATAGTTGTTAAACTGTCAGAACTGGCAAGTTGCAGAGGTGCAATTATATTTGCTGTGCAAGTTTGAGGAATTCTAACATTTCTATTACAATGTAAAATGAGGTCGAAGGAATTTGAGTTTTGTAATTTTTGCTAAATAACACTGTGCAGCATGATTTTCTAGAAAAGATGTTCTAAAGACATATTTGACTTTCTTACGGTTTCCTGAGTTAAAGTTTACTTTTGCTCTAACACTTTCGGTTTGTGGGCACTGCCAGAGCCGTACTCAGGATTTTTGTTAAGGTGGCGAACTCGCAGTTTTGTCAGTCACATTCAATAAGTGTGACGTAAAAGATACACAGATATCACAACAAATTTTCACTATTATATCTGTTTTCTCTGACAGGAAGTGCGAGCTGTCTTCACATATGTTCATCGCTACTTATAAGAATTATGAAACTGAATATTTCCAGAAGTACAGGGATCATGACCAATTCGTAAAAGTTAAGAGAACATCATTTGATTTCAGGGAACGTTGTAGAACTTCTTAAAAGTGAATGGGACATTCTATACTTTCAAGGAACTTCATAGATGTTCAAGAAACATCGTAAACTTCAAAAACTTTATAGACATTCAGTGTTGGCTAAAATCATGTCCAGAAAATCAAAATCAGCTACACACTTAGACAAATTGATGTAAGTGCTCTGAGACTGACATATGCGATATCAGCTGTGATTTTCGATTTCCAAATTAAACCAGAATCAATATTAACCAAGATCAAAATCATCGAAAATCGTAGGATTAGAAGATATATTAAATTATAGAGTCTGAGACATTCCGAAATTCAAGTCAGCATTCCGGATGAAATTAAAATGGCTTCCACAAATCCATGGTATCAACGGAATGTTATTGATGAGTAGAAGCGGAAAATTAACATCCGCCGCCATTTTGAACTTCAAGATGGCGGCCCAAAATCTAAATCCATGCAATAGGGGTATCTACTGAATGGGCTGTGAAATCTATGACAAAAATAAATATTTTTTTTAGTTTGTAAAATCTAATTTGCTGTGCAGTTCAGCTACGCCAGTATTTCACATTCTTGATATTTGCGAGATTTCTAACTTCAAATATGACATATTTTAAAGATCTCAGATTATTAAAAAAACATGGTTCTTGGACTTGGACAACACTGTAGGATACTAACACTCCAAAGCAAGGATGCAGATATTGGCAACGAGTCATGCATCGCATTGTCTGCTGCTCATCAGCGATTTGATGCTATAACAGTAGCGCTAGTTAAGCACAAATACAGTGCTGCACGAATGGTTCATTTTTTCCGGTTTTTTGCTCCCACTCCTCTTCGCTATCATTCGCTGAGTTACTACATTTTGCCATCAAGCATTCGTCACTCACCAGCTGCCTACTTCTGCTCGAAGACTTGGGTGATACATTCGACAGCGATTCGATTCGCAGCCGAATAATATTCACAACGAATGCTTCAGAGCAATGCGTAAGCTACTGGAACTGAAGAGGCACTTAACTTTTTTTTCAACATTTTACAGTTAACATTCCCACACAGTATTCACGGCGAATATTCATCGCGAATATTCACCGTGAATACTCATCGCATCGCTTCGCATCGTTTTGCATCGCACGCAACTACATTTGTATCCGATCACATCAGTTCATATGGACGATGTGAATTGAACGAGACTGTAAAGCTGGGCTTAGACAGGGTAAGTCAATTGATCAAGTTAGTTGAATTCAACTGACTTGACCGCGAATTGAAAGTGTAAACCATGCCATTCAACTGACTTGATCAACTCACTTGAATTGAAAAAAGTTCAACCAGGCTTAACTTTTCAAGCCAATTGAATTCAAGTGAGTTGATCATTTGACTTGCCTAGTCTAAACCCAGCTTAAGGAGGACAGCAAGAACAGCAGGAATAATCCTCGCTCACTGGTCACTCACAGAGACTCAAATCAAAGCATCGTTTGCATCGCTCGAGAATGCTTACTTTGCTTCGTTCTTTCGAACGCGTTCGGAGAAGAAGAGTGATTTTGAGCCGTACGATGTGAAGATCAGTAGCCCTGCTCCAAAGCATTGAGTTTTGAGGAGAATTATAGAGGAATTCTGGCGAGACTTTCAATGGAATTTGAATAGAAATTTCAGGTAATTTTGAGTAGTATTTCAAGAAAATTTAAAAGTAAACTGAATTCTAAGGTCTTCTAATCTGACGAGACAATTCTCGACTATTTTTTCGAAGGGACGTATCAACTTTTGTAAACAATGCATTTGATCGTCGATTTGGCGTAACTGGTAGGTCGCCCACGCATGTTAACACTACCATCACGTAGGGGGAAAACTCCCCTATCTGATAGTGGTGTTAGTATGCGTGGGTGAGCTACCAGTTGCGCCAAACTGACGATCAAATGCATTGTTTACAAAAGCTGATACGTCCTTACGAAAAAGTAATCGAGAATTATGGGAATTATGAATACTTCTCAGGGAACTCAAAAGAAAATCAAAACTCAAAAGGAATTTCAATGAGTATTTAGAAGGCATTCAAAGTTATTTAATTAAATAAACAAAGCTAATGATGATGTAACTACAATCCTGAAACTACACCTACATATCACTTACGGCTGAAAATCTCTTAAATGTTGATCGATCGTTTAATCAAAGAGAAATTCTGCAACGAAATATGGATAATAATTCCAAGGGAATATGGTTATTAACATTGCTAAGAAACATCTTTGCGGACGTTTAAGCCAGTTTGGAGATAGTTTTTAGTTTATAAGAATTTTGAAGAAATATCAAAAAGTTTGGGAGGATTTGGCCGGAAATTTTG